GAAGTTGTAATTCTATTTCCTCATAGTGAAATTCTTCTACCGTTGCCCGTAGTTTTTACCCTATTTTATTTAGGGGTTTTTCACTTAAATTTTGTCTCTTTTTATCTTCATTTTTATTTTCTCAAATTATCAATTGCGATTTTGCTCTATCCGATAGTCGTTTTCCGTAACAATTGATATCAGAGCTAGATTAGAGTGTGTAATATCTACTTATTGTCTTTGTGGTTGCCACCAAAAGGTGGATCCTCCAACATAAGAAAGTAAGAAGGTATTACCCATTCTTTGAAGGTTCCAGAGAACTATTCACGATAGTGAAATAGTTGGAGCTATCCATAAAAGAAGCTATGGCAACGAATTTTTATATTGAAAAATTCAATGGGAGAAAATTTTCATTGTGAAAATTGAAGATGAAGGCCATCATGAGGAAAGACGGGTGTTTAGCAGCTATCAGTGAAAGGCCGGTAGATTTCACAGATGACAACAAATGGATCGAAATGGACGGGAATGCTATGATAAACTTTCATCTAGCATTAGCAGATGAAGTATTGTCAAGCATCGAGGAGAAGAAGACAACTAAGGAGATATGGGATCATCTCACCAAATTGTACGAGGCCACATCGTTGTACAATAAAATTTTCCTTAAGAGAAAATTGTACACTCTCCGTATGCCAGAATCTACTTCAGTGACAGAACACTTAAATACGTTGAATACTTTATTTTCTCAGCTTACATCCTTACGCTGTAAAATAGGAGAACAAGAACGTGCTGAACTTCTACTTCAAAGTCTATCGGATTCGTATGATCAACTCATCATCAACTTGACAAACAGTAATGTCACCAGTCTAGTCTTCGATGACGTTGCAGCTACTGTTCTACAAGAAGAAAATCGGCGCAAGAACAAGGAAGCCAGACAAATAAATCTGCAACAAGCAGAAGCGTTGACAACGACGAGAGGGAGATCAACAGAACGTGACCAAAGCAGCAGTCACAAACATAGTAGATCAAAGTCGAGGAGCAAGAAGAATTTAAAGTGCTACAACTGTGGAAAGAAGGGTCACTTGAAGAAGGATTGTTGGAGTCTAAATAAAAACTCCAATCCACATGGCAACACTGCAAACACTTCAGATGATGGAGAAGCTTTATGCTGTGAAGCGTCAACCACCGTGGAAGGTAGAAAGAGATATGCAGATATATGGCTCATTGATTCGGGAGCAACATATCACATGACCTCAAGAAGAGAATGATTTCATCATTATGAACATGTCTCAGGAGGATCTGTGTATAGTTGCAATGATCATGCCTTAGAGATCATTGGCGTGGGAACCATCAAATTGAAGAACTAGAGGTATAAAAAGAGATGCTGGAAGAAGAAGAAGATCAGGATGTTGAAAATGCTAAGGGGGCTGATGTTTCTGAGAGTAAAGTTGAAGATGGGGGATGAAAATAGGAAGCATGCTGAGCTTCTTGTTCGCCCTCCTCATGGTTCTGAAGTTTATATAGGAGGCATTCCACGTGATGCTTCTCAGGAGGATTTGAAAGGCTTTTGTGAATTTGTTGGAGAAGTTATCGAGGTGTGCTTTTATGCTGTTTGTGTGGAATATCTTCTTTTCTACTCGAGACAAAGGCTTACATCACACTCTATGATGACAGGTTCAGATTATGAAAGGTAAAGATTTAAGTGAAAACAAGAGCTTTGCAGTTGTGACCTTTAGAAGCGTAGAATTGGCCTCTAAAGCCATTGATGAGTTAAATAATGTTGAATTTAAGGTGTGAGTCTTCGTATGCTTCATTTATATGTTAACACAGCACAAGCTAATAAGCGTCCAACGCATCCCCATCTTCTCTTTATTTCTAACAACAGCATTTTTAGGTTTGATGTTTTCAAATATGCTTCTTTGGTTGCTGAATCTCTCTGCCTCAGGGTAGAAAAATAAAATGTTCTACATCCCAATCAAAGAATCAATTGTTTATCGGTAATCTTCCCAGAAGCTGGAGAGAGGAACACCTAAGAAAGGTCTTGTCAGAGGTTGGTCCCAGAGTTACTGGTGTGGAATTGGTGAAGGTTAGTTTAATGAACTAGTGCTTTTCTATTGTAGTCTCTAGTATTGGAGACTGCTGTTTAGTGGTAATGTTGTGGTCTGGTGTATCCATTATGTGCTTACAGGATATGAAGAACTTAAGTAATAGCAACAGGTGCTTTGCTTTTGTGGAGTACTTTAACAATGCATGTGCCGAGTATTCAAGGCAAAAGAAGATGAATCAAGAATTCAGGATTGATGATAATACTCCAACTGTGAGCTGGGCTGATCCCAAAACTGCTGATTCGCCTGCTGCTTCCCAGGTATCATTAAGAGTCTCTCTTTGCCTTCCTGGCTTCCTGCAATTTTCTTTGTGCAGTTAATATGTTCGTGCACGTCTCATTGGGGACGTTTTTCCTCCATTTTCCACTCTTTTACGGTGAAGCTGACTTGCATGCATTTTACTGTGTATCATCGTGTGCATTTATAACTTAGATTCATCTCATATTAAGCAATCAGCTTACCTATTGGTTCTTCCTAACTGAGGAACATTGATTGTGTTTTTCAGTATAATTAGAAAAGAAGTGTGTTTGTCAGGGAGGCATGGGGGAAATTGTTGTAGTTTTTTTATCTCATATATTTTGCTAGGGGATGGGCATTGGCAGTTGGCACAACAGGTTAGGTTGCTTCATTTTGACCTTGGAGGTCATGGGTTCGAGTAATAGGAACAGCCACTTTGCAAGTGAGTATAAGCTGTGTACATCTCCCCCTTTCAAAATCCATTATGCAGGACTCTCTCGCACTGGGCTGTCCCTTATCTTTGATAGCTCTGAAAACTGTTAAATTTCTTACTACCGTTATATATCATTGCATGATTTTTCTTATCCCTGGTATCGCGGATTTGTCATATGGACTACTCTTTTCCTAAGCCAAATATTTCCCCACAGGTGAATCGGTTTTCCTTTCTGGTGGTCATCTCTTTGATTGCAATTTATTTTGTGATGTATTCCTAACCATGTTTTAGAATTGTTAATTTGAAGTTAACCTGTCTTATGCAGAAGGCACTTTATGTAAAGAATTTGCCAAAGGATATCACGCAATATCAGTTAAAGAAGCTTTTTGAACATCACGGAAAGATAATTAAAGTGGTTCTACCTCCAGTTAAACCTGGACAAGAGAGAAATAGAATTGTTTTTTGCAGAGAGATCTTGTGCTATGAAAGCTTTGAATAGCTTAGAAAAATTTGACCTGGGTGGTAATTACTGAATCCTTATCCATCAAGCATTTTTGTTTACTAATATCAAATTCTGAATGTCATTATTGTGTTTTTCAGGCCAAATTGTGGAATGTTCTCTTGCAAAGCCTCTAACAGATCGAAAGAGTCCTCACCGGGGGTCAAGTTTGCATACATCAGGTCTTCTTCCTAATTATCCACCCCACATTGGCTATGGTCTCGTTGGGGGTGCATATGGTGTTCCAGGCCTTGCACAGGTGAGATCTCTGCATGTTTGACTGCTTCTATATCTTCATTATTTTTTCAATACCCTGCAGGTGATTCTTCTTCTTTTTGAACCTCTGCTTTTGACTTGTACATGTCAGTGATATCCTTGCTAAATATAAATCTTTCCATGTGGCTTATCATTGTGTGTTTTTGTCGGTATGCTTCTATCTACCAAATCGTTACCAAGTTTGGCTTTAGAAGAATCATCCTTAAGGTTCCAGTGAAGTAGGTTCTATAGAATATATATTGGACGTGGTCCTGTATTTGGATTTTGGCTTTTATAACTAAAAGTTCCATGTTTTTTTTGAAGTATTGGTCTCGTTTTAGTCTGGCTTTGCTTTTGGATACGAGGGTTTTCTTTTTCCTTCAAAGAGAAAGTACATTTAAAATTATAGTTTCCTTGGTTCTCCTGGCTTAGAAAATATTCAGAGAACTGTATCTTGTTTCCAATACGACGGCGATGAGTGCTTAAGAATCAGACAAATAGTTAGCTTGATCTTTTACCTCGAAGTCCTACATGCTGAATGTCTGATTTTGATCAGTGGGTATATCTTAAGATGTAATGAAATGTGTGTTTTGAGCCTTGTGGTCCCGCTCAAGATGTAATAGAATGCTTAGTCTCTTCATTATCCTTATGTTTACTCGTTTTATGAGTTATAGAGATTTAATCTGAAATAAAATTTGTCATCTACAGCCATTAATCTATGGGAGGGCACCAACTACCACTGGCATGTCAATGATGCCAATGCTTCTACCTGATGGCCAAATCGGATATGTCCTGTTAGTTCGGTGTCGGTATTCTCTATTCAATATTTTGAACTTTTAAAAGCTATTTCCATGAAAACACTGTCATATAAAATGACATTGAATTAGGTGGCATATTCTTTAAGGTTCTGGTTAGCTGATGCAAGTAAAATTGAACACACTGTCTCATCTAAATGTAAAAATATGATTCATCAAAATCAGTATACAGAAAAAGAAAAGCTTTACTTTAATTTTCCTGGTTCTTTATCCTCTTTGTTTTCCTCTAAATTTCATGATGGGCGATGTTATAGTTCTTCAGTGACATTCTGTTAATTTTGATTTTATAGTAGGATATGCCTAATGAATTAAATCCATTTATCATCAATTAACGCAGGCAATAACCGGAAGCACAACCTCCAAGCCCACCTCTACATCAGAGAAATAGTCAAGATGGTGGCACTTCAAACAGGGGAAAGCACGGAAACTATATCCGGTGGTATTGCCCCTATTGATTCCTTCCCCTGCCGTAACCAGCGACTGTTATAAACCAAACTGGGACTAAAATGAGTGCCCATGAAACATATCCTACTTCATTTGATGATGCTGTCATGCTCATATCCTTATTAATGATTAAAGCACGAACATTTTAGCCTTGATTATTCTGTTTTAGCTTTCTTTTTCTTGCTTAAAGAGTTGGGTTTTGATTTCCCATCTGTTGGCTGAGAAAGAAAACAAGATTTCAAGTCCAACCATAATATCTATTAAAGTCGGCTAAAATGAGAGAAACTAGATGAGAGAAACACTTAATGGGCATTGCAATTCCCAGTTTAACAACAGTATTATTATTGCTTAATTACTCACTTTCATGATTGTCTTCTTCTTCATGCTCCTCTTCTTTATCATTATCCTGTTTCTTTTGCTTGGTTTTGGTTCCGTTTTCGGCAGATGAATCCTCTATCTTTCTCTTCTTTTTGGCCTCATTTTCCTTAGCTGCTCCACCCTTTTTCCCAGCATTCTTCTTTTTGAACTCTGCAACAAATCAATAACCCATCAATCGTTTTCCATTGTTCATTTCACCTAAACCAAAAATAAATTAAAAAAAGACAGGCTATTCAGACGTTTCCACGGTAGCTAAACTAACCGGTAAGGGAAGCCCTAAGGGGTTTAACGAATTCCGAGAACTCAATTTCTTCGAGTGCTTTAAACACATCCTCCGCATTCATTGTCTGCCTCTTCGATTCCTTGCATATATCATTTGCCCTGATTCACCACCAACTTTTAATAGCAAACCCTAGATAAATCAGCAAAGCAAGCATTTGGGGATTTTGTTTTGATGGACTTACGTGGCGGAAAGGTAGTGGATGAAGATGCGAGCGCTTTCAGAGAAAGCGAGGAGGGCATCTTTGTGAACGTTAAAATCGTAATCCGGTGAACATTCCGAGAGCTTCTCCTTCACCACCCTTCGCACTATCGCCTTCGGCAGCTCTTCTGCCTCCGATACCACTTTCTCCATTTCCCTCTCTTTTACCCCTACAAAAATTGTTCAAAGGAAAGTGCAAAGTCAGTGACAAATACACAGAGCGAGCGAGCGAGAGGGTTTTGTTTCCCGCCATTGGTTTCAAGGCTTTTATTAGTCTGTTAATGAATCCAGCCCAGTTGACTCTGTCCCCGTCGGGTAGCCCTTTTAGTACTGCATTGTTTATTTCTTTACTTTTATCTCTATCAAGTTATTCGGCTTCCTCGCCGATGTAGGGGAAAAAAATTTCCCATATAGGACTCTACACAAATTATTTTTTGAACTGAAGTGTTTGTTGTAGTGATCTCGTTGGTTGTTAAAGTGTTCCATAGGTCGCCAAGTACTCCTTGCGACAAAGTCTCCTCTGTTGCAGCAACTCTTCTCTCTTCCCTCTTCCCTCGTTGTTGCAGCAACATAGGTCGCCAAGTGCTTCATAGGTTGTCGTGTGCTTTATAGGTCGCCGTGTGCTCCTAGAGACTTATGATGGTCACTATAGCAATCATCCTACTTAAACAAATAATTATTCGATTGTACTATGTGAATAATTTTTTTCCATTACATTATTTAAACACTTTTGCCCAAGTTATTTACTTAAAAAACCTTATCAAATTATTAAATTTTGTTGTATTCATGATGTGGATGTGAAATATTTTATTTTAAAGGTATATTTATAATTATATTATTATTGTTGTTACTATCATTTTATTCATATTTTTTATTAATTTCTTTTTGATACGGGTGTAGACGACCCAAAACTCAGTTAAATGAATATTAAATTTTAACATTGATAAGATGATTGATTTGGCATCGGGATTCTTAAGCATTTGATTATGCTTTAATTGACAAGTATTTGGGATTCCGCCCATACCCTCCCTTCATGCCTCGACAAAATTAATTAATTCAGTATTTACAGTAATAATAACAATAAATTATTAGATATATCAATCGACTTATAAGAGACCTGTTCACGAAAATTAAATTTGATAATTTAGGAATATTATTTATCGCCTAAATTCAATAATTCTATGGTACGATTTTGTATTGATTGTTGATTTTAATTTATTTATATAATACAAAATAAATTTAAAATATATATAATAAATATAAACACAACAATATCAAATTAAGGGAAAACAATAAAGGTCTTAATATGAAAACAATCTATTTCAGTAACAAACCACTATTTTTTTAAATTAATACAGAACACTATTTCCAACCGCTTTATAGAAAACAACATGAAAACCAGTTGAAGCCTATTTTTATTAAGTATTTGGGTAAATTACAAATTTCATCATTGAGCTTTACTCTTTCTCCCATTTTGTTCACTGAACTTTAAAATTTTTCAATTTCTTTACTGAACTTAATACATTAGATTTTTTTATCACTGAACTTCATTCTATTATTTTGATCACTCTACCGTTAAACAGTTAACGACGTTAAAAATTATATCATTATAAAAATAATTTTTTTAAAAACGACGTCATTTTACATCTATATAACATCTCATTTTAACGCCGTTAATTATTTAACGGCCGAGTGATAGAAAAAAATCTAATGTATTAAGTTTAGTGAGAAAATTAAAAAGATTTAAAGTATAGTGAGTGAAATAGGAGAGTTGATAAAGTTTAGTTACCATATTTGTAATTTACTCTAAGTAGTTTTTGGTTAAAGAATCTATATATAATCTAAATCCAACCATCAACTGTTGGTGATTTTAAGTTTTTACAGTCTTGGCTACTACAATGTCACCTTTAAACTAGGGCCTCCTCCATTTCCCGGAAACAGTTCTTCAGTGATTTTCTCATACCTACTGACAAAAGTGAACCAACAAAACCAACCCATCAATCAATCAATCATGTTATACGGAAATCAAATAAATGATATCAACAAAGCATCAAATCCATGTCTGTTGGCTCAAATAATTCAGTTGTTTCCATGGTGTTTTTATATTCGGATGTAGATTTATGTTGTTTCAGTATCCTAAAATTTACCTGTTTGATGTTCACACTTTCATGAAAATAAGATGTACTGTCAATGTTGTTAGTGGGCGAAGACCTATTTTTACTCGGACTCGAGTGTTACGGATACAGAACACAGGTATAGATAAGTGTTTTTTTCTTCTTTTGTGTGAGTTGAATACTGGTGTTGGACACGAATACTTTAAGAAAGAAGAAGAATCAGAATAATAGAGATGCATTAATATTTCATGTAGGATAGGCAATGGTCTTTAAACTTTATACAGGTAAGAGATTGTCTAACCAAACCAACCAAGGATCAAAAGTTGATGTTGTTGCCAGGTTGGTTGGTAGGTTGAGTGGTCAAATAAGTTGGTCTGTCTGTCAACCTCATCGATTGGCTATTCTGATGCAAGGTTTTCATAATTGATCAGAAGGCATGGTCCATGATATTGAAAGCCACCACTGCTAAAACAAATTTAACTTCAAACATCTAGTTGATAATTCTTAATCTTACCCAACAAGTTGGTACAGTACACTAAAAGTACATTAATTATGTGATCTGTTGGGTTTCATATAAGAAAATGAGCAGATTCTTAAGCAGCTTAAATGAACCCTAATCTGAACGGAAAGACCCAAATTTCGGTTCATGTATTAGCCTAAGTCCGTTGATTGAAAATGCCATAGATTTAGACACTGAGTACTGATGATCCAAACGAAAGCTGATGCCATGAATTTTCTTTTGGGGGAAGAAAGGAGAAACAGACAATGAACATATCATCTTTAGAGATAGAGCTCAACCGCCTCAAGATTAAATTTTTGGACGTATTTTAGGCTAGAAAATGATGGAAAAGAAAATAAACAAAAGGGATGGTGTGAGTAGTGGCTGCCTGCCATTAGAGAGATCCTAATGGCTATCTGTCTTCTTCTTTCTATTCTAGATAGAAGCCAATTTGAACTTCTGTACAGCTGAAGACAAAAAAGAATCTCGACTCAATGATTTCACTTGCATTATATAAAACTTTGCACGCTGAGATAAGAAAGACGGAGACTCATTACCATATTTAATATGGACAATGTGCGTGTGTGTGTTGGCAATCGGAGGTTTTACACTGGACCAGACAGTGGGTTCATAGGTGGAGTTGACACCACCCATTACCATGTGGTTAAAATCTTACAAGAGAATGATTCCGAATTCCTTTTATCTTTTGACACAAGAAACCCTGAAATCCAAATACTTCGACTACCCAAAACCCCAAGTGTCAGGTGGGCTCAAAAGATTCGCAACGAGGGTCAACAGCATGAAAAATGTACACTGTGCCAGCACATTTTAACCCCTTCCCCCCCTATGAGGCTGTTGGAGGTCAAGTGCATGACATAGGCATGAGTTGGCAGATATCAACTAGTACGAGGCTTAGACTCTCTGGTGTGCATTACCATCCATCCATGTTCACATGCAAATGGACCGTGTAACCACGACCTCACATACATGGTGCACATGGATCACATCCTATCTAAAGAAATAGGGATTAACAACTTTGATAGCTTATTAATTGATGCATGCTGCAACAGTTAAAAGGGCATTGAATATCTCACCTGAAACTTCCTCTTCTCTGGAATTTGAATTATCTCCAGCAATACTGTTTTCCCTTAGGGATACCTATCTAACTAGCCAAATTGACGTATTTTCAAGAGAGATTAAGCATGCCATAGCCAAGATCAGAAGACTGCAGAATAAGAATTCCTGAGAAAAAGCTCAGAGTTAAAGAGAATTAATGGCGATGTCGTTATTTAAATAACTTGCTTGAGTTATTGACAAATTAAGGAATGATTTTCTTATATTATTTGTACTAGCTGATGAATATATCAACTCCGGAAGATAACCCTGAACTCCGATGCTATAAACCGACGTACCATCTGGATAGAAGAGACCGTAGTTCCTCTCGGATGCTGGACCAGGCTTTAGATTCTCATTGAAAAGAGCAAAAACATATATGTCAATCGGGACATTCGGTTTTGCCGGTGTACCTTGTCTCTGTTCTATCCTTTTCAACAGATTGCCATTATACAATCCTGCATTCTCCGGTGTAGCCCCTACTTCATTTTCATCCCCTTTGAAAGGCCAGCCTGTCTCGGAAACCCGGACTTCAATATCCGTATGCCCCATTGCTTTTATTGCCGAATAAACAGCATCAACTTGAGCGTACAACATATTATCATATTTCAAATTGGTAAAAGGATCCATTGTCCCTTGATTAGGTTGGAAGAGCACACAGTCTAATGGCACCTCATTCGGGTTATCCTTGTACGCGAAATACGGATACGCATTGATCAAGAACGGCCACTTGACCTGAGCATGGAAGTTCAAGATACCATGTAAATATTCCCCGAGATCTTGCCTAAAAGCCCCAGCCGAAGGAGGGAACGACACGCTTAAGATATCGAGCTAATATGCGGTAGTAACAGATACTTGTTTATCGAGGCCGAGATCGACGAGAGTATTATAAACTGTTTGCATTGCTGGGAGGAGATTAGACCACTGCTGATGATCATTATATTTGAAGACCTCATTCCCCACAGTGATGCAAGTAATCCTGGTCCGAGAATGGTAGGGTTGAACTCGCTGTTGAACCCAGTTTTGAGCTTTGATTGGATCGGTCATGTTTTGAAGGTACTCATTCCCTTATCCAATAATGAAATCAACATTTGTGTGGGAGAAAGCAACAAGAACATTGGGATCTGCATCATACAGTTTAACTCTGCTGATATCGAGGGATCTGAGGAGGTATGAGACTCGGGTTGGAGATGGAAGATTGTTTGCTATTTGGCCATAGTTGATTCCAACTCCAAGCCCAAGGGATTGCACTGATGAATCTGGAAATCACAGAATAAATGTGAATCCAAAATGTACATAAAAATTATTTAAACAAAACCCAGAAAGATACAAAAGAGATGGGTAAGAAATAAAAAAAGAGTGAAGATGCCTGAAACTAACTTTCCAAATTTAAAAGAAAATTCCATCCAACCCATGCATTGGAGCTTGGTTTATTTGAGCAGAAATAAATTATACTTGAATACTAAACATTGATCAACCATAAAGGATCATATCTTGTACAAAAGCAAATAGCACTTAGCTCAATAATAATCGAAGAAACCGTAATATATGATTTATTTTGCATGGAAGTTTTAAAAAGCATTAAGATTTTGAAATGCAATGATTATGAAACTCAACAGAAATTCTGCTTTCATTCCTCTAGAAACGAAAATGAAAATGACCATCAACTAAAATATTAAAAATCAAAAGAAAAAAAGAAGATAGATTCCTGGATTATGTAAGTAAATAAAAGATGCCATTCCCGTTGAAGCAGATGAAGAATGAAAATGAGATTAAGAGTTGGGAGTTGAGAAGGAAGAATATGAGCCTGAGAAAGTGAGAAGAAGCAGAAACGAGGTAAAGAGAAGAGAAGAAGAGGCAGCCATAAACGATGGATTAAAGAAGGATCTTAGCAAACATTATCAGCAACGGCGTTTCATCCACCACCAAAACTCTCTCTCTCTCTCTCTCTCTCGGAAGTCTGAGTTGGCAATAAAAATAATAAATAAATCCACATAAGTCACTGACGTGGAAATAAAAAATATTAAAAAATAAAAAATCTAAAAAATTCACGTTTTTCTTCCTCTTCTTCTTCTTTCAGCCAATAAGAAACGAGTGGATATAGAATCACGACGAGGAACTACGCTTGGTTTACCAAGAAAATAATTGGGTGACTTAATCCTTAGTTTACCAAGAAAATATAATAAATCTCTTCTCGGTTCTATGTGCAAACACTGCACGTTTCTGTTTTTCTTCCCTTTAAGCTTCTGTTTCACTCTCTCTTTGTCTTTTTTCTTTGCGTTTTTCTTAAGTGAGAACTGAAAAGCCATGGCTCTTTAAATCTTTGCCATGTTTTCACCTTTTGGTTCTCTGGGTCAGCCCTTATTTTCTTCCCTCTTTTAAGCTTTACGTAGTTAATGAGAACGTTAATGGAGGTAAAGGGACACCTAATCTATTAGTAACTTCTTTAAATTCTCACATTTTTAGATCAACTTTGTTTAAAACCCTCTCAAAGCTCGAAACTTAGACGCCATTGATGATCTTCAAAAGCTTTAAGCTTTAAGCCTCTACTCAAAAGTCAAAACTCCAAGCGTCTTTCCAAAATGTCATCACTAGAGCTGTCCCGTATGGATTTAGAGCAAGGGACTCACCGCTGGAACGGGAGTGATGTCACCGCCGACGAGGCTAGCGTCTGCTTCTCCGATGCCGACAACGTTTCTTGCTACTCTCAGTTTTATTCCATCACTGGCGGTTCTTACGACGACTACAGCTTCGCTTGCGATTCGGACGGTGAGGTTGGTGACGTTTCTGGTTCCGGGAGGGTGTCGTGTGGAGGTGCAAATTCAAGGCGGAGCTAATGAAATCAAAGTGCATTTGGCTAAAGCTGAGAAAGATCGTAGAATCCGGTGTAGCTATTGAATTGGTTTGTTCTTGCAAGGATGATCTTGCTGCTGCTCATAAACACAGTGCTGAGGCTTTGTTTAAGATAAGAAGAAATAAGTAAAACAGGATCAAACAACAACAACAACAAAATCCTATTCCCATATGCAATGGGGTAACTCGAGGCAGGGTAGTAGGCTATCCCAGGTTAAGAGCAGCTTCCGTGAAAGACCTCCGGCAGTCAAACAATTAAAAATAAAGATAAAATACAATGCATGTTTAAATAAATAAATAAAATATGTAATTGAACAATCTTCATATGCAGTCTTCATATGCACGTCTGTAATGAGAAGTAATCCCTACAAATAAATCTCTGCATAAAAATATCTGCATATAGACAGAAACAAAAGACCCGGCCAAAATTAAAAAGAGGAAACATGAAGAGCATTATACACAAAATTCAACGATAATAGGCTACGAGAAGGAATAAAGTCAAATGAGATAAAACTTAAACTAAGGCAACATACTCCGCTACCTTAGTTCTAAGCCTTCATAAATTCCAATAACAGAAACGTATAAAAAGTATAAGTATTGAAATTACTACAAAGGCATTAAAAGAAGACAAATATGATACACCCAATGGATGTGACTCACCCTACTCGGTTACCCTGGTCTTAAGTAGCCATAATTTCCTATCATAGGTCATGTACTCGGTAAAGGCTAAATCCTTCAAATCAGATCTCAAGCAGTCTTCCCACTTCCGCCTTGGTCGACCTTTCATTCTCGTACCATCGACTGTAATCGACTTTACCCTCTTAACCGAATCCGATGGTTGTCGTCTTAGGACATCCCCAAACTATCGTAGTCTTCCCTCCCTCAATTTTTCGGATACAAGCACCACCCCAAGGATATCTGTTGAAACATTTTAATATTTCGATATAACAAATTAAGTTAAATGGATTTTAAGATTTTCCAAATGATTTTCTAAGTATATTCGATATAACTATTCGAATATCAAAACATTACTCCAAATATTTCAAAAATCATTTTTGATCCTTACTTAAGTGTAAAATTAAGTTTTAATCATAAAACAATTTCAAAATATTTTACAAAGTATTTCGAACCAATTCAAAGCCAAAAATTCCAGAATACTCAGAGGGAACCGATTCCCCCCCATAGGAGGAACCGATTCCCCCCTGAATGGTTTGGCTCCGAGATTTCCAGAATGCTCGGAGGGAACCGATTCCCCCCAAGGGGGTACCGATTCCCCCCTGTTCAACGGTCGAAATATTTGAATTTTACACTTAGGGAACCGATTCCCTATAATAGGGAACCGATTCCCCCCACTGTCCAAGCTGTTTTATTAAATGTTTTCACACTAAAACGGCTATAATATCTTCTCTAATTATCCCCAACGTTCAGAAGTGATTCAAGGTGTATTTAAGCAAGCTTAGAAGCCATTGATCAACAACAAAAAAAACATCAAGCAACTAGAATCAAGAGAGAATCAAAGAGAAAGCATCAAACCTCAAGTTTGAGCATTTCAAGCCCATTTTCATTCAATATTCATTTTGCTTTCAAGAACACTTTTTGTGCTCAATTGTATTCATCTTTGAGTGTTCTTTTCTTTGTTCTAGAATTGTGCAAACATCTTACCTTGTGAGGTTTTCTTGTAAGTTTGCAAATTTGTAATCTTCTCTTTGAGAAAAGAGTGTTCTCAAGAGTTGGGGTATACTCTTGAGGGAATTGTAAGGTTATCTCTTTGGCCTCAAAAGAAAGAACAAATTAGTGAATTTGTTGGAAAATCCTTAGTGTGGATAGCTAAGGTAGTGGACGTAGACTTTGTTTGAGAAAGTCGAACCACTGTAAATCGCTGTGCAATTGCTTTCAATTTTCTGCAAAAGCTTCCACAAAATTTTTATTGCCAATTCACCCCCCTCTTGGCCAATTTCGTCATTCGATTAACTCAACAATTGGCATCAGAGCCTAACTCATTTGAAGGTTTAATCGCCTCTTGAGTCGATCCGGGAAGAGTTACATCGATTACAAAGTCATCAATGGCCTCCACTTCAAACTTCGACTCCGGTCTTGATTCGATGCCCGTCAACAAGCCTCCTTTCTTCAATGGAGCTAACTATGCCTATTGGAAGAATAGAATGATGTACTTCATTCAAGCAAGTGACATGGGAGCATGGAATGCTGTAGAAGAAGGATACATCAAACCTCTCACTCATCCAAGGTTGTGGAGTGAAGGAGAGACAAGAATGTTCCAGCTCAACTCCAAAGCCATCCATATATTTTTTGTGCTCTTGGACCAGATGAATACGGAAGAGTTTCATCGTGTACAACCGCCAAAGAAATATGGGACAAACTTCAAGTCACACATGAAGGTACAGATGAGGTAAAGAAATCAAAATTAGTATTCTAACGCATAGCTATGAAAATTTCAGGATGAAACCAAATGAAGACATCAAAGCTATGACGGATAGATTTTCAACGATTGTCAATGGTCTCAAATCATATGGAGAGATCATCTCAAATGAAAAGCTTGTGAGGAAGTTAGTCTACTCCCTCCCAAAATCATGGCAATCAAAGAATACGGCAATCATCGAGTCTAAGGACCTATCGTCCTTAACTCTTGAAGAACTTATCGGTTCACTCCTCACTCATGAGATGATGCTTGAAGATGAGGTGGACCTTGATAAAGTTGAAGAGACACCAAAGGAGAAGGAGAAGAAGAAAAACATTGGAGTTGCTCTCAAATCCACAAAAGATGAGAGTGATTCTAATGATGATGATGACGAGGAAATGGCATTGTTTGCCAAACGGTTCAGAAAAATGATGAGACCTTACCAAGGAAGAAAATTCAAACGAAACGAAGGCCTCAAAAATGAACCAAAAGAGAAGGACCCAATCATTTGCTATGAATGCAAAAAGCCGGGGCATGTCAAATACGATTGCCCACAATTGAAGAAAAAGGGTCAATCAAAGAATAAGCACAAGGCTCATGTGGCTACATGGAGCGATGAAGAAGGTTCCGATGAAGAGGAACAAGAAGTAGCAAACTTGTGCTTGATGGCATTCGGGGAAGATTCTAAGGTAACCTCTAACTCATCTGATTTTGATGATTTATCTTATGATGAGCTATTAGAGGAATATAATGGGTTGGCTTCGGATTATGAGAAATT